GGCTTCAAAGAACACATTTTACACAACAAGTAGTTAATCTACTTAATAAAATGAACTTATTTTTGAACCAGTGTATCCATCCAATGACATTGGGGTAGATAAATGACCAAATAAACAACTTATATTTAGCACTGCTGAGAGACTAGCAAACATGCAAGGATACTCAAATTAAATTATAAAAGGTGTATTACACAAAATTGGTAGCCAAAGAAAAAGACAGTGATATACACAATATAAGTACAACATCGGACTCCACTAAGTCTAAATGCTAATCACAAAATCCTCCAGACCTAACCCTTTCTGTTTCTGCCATCTATGTGCTTTAGTCCATTATTGTTCACTTAGGAAGTTTATAGAATTGTGGTCTTCTTGTGGCCAGACTTCACCTTTACATTCCTGATACATTTGAGTTTGGGGAGATCTTTATAGCACGCTGCAGAATAACAATTCAGAATGTTATGTGGGAGCACATAATGAAACTTTACTCTAGTGGCACTGCCAGAGATTTTAGGATCCCAAATTAGGCTTTGTTCATTTGCTTTAGTGAATTCCTTTTGTGTTTTCTTTTTTGCCAAGCCAAAGCATTTTTCTTAATTTTAATTTTTTGTGAACATACTGTAAGCATTTTTCTTTATATTAAATATTTTTTCCAAATATGTTTAGGTTTCTATCCTGAATGAAGGAACTTGTTTCACAGTGTTATTGGGGAATACTTTTTTGTGTCTTTTTGTAATTTGTCAGTGGGAGAAATGATTTAAAAATAATTGAGCCACAAAGTAAATTGAGTTGACTCTGTTCAGTGACCTAAAGTGGATAAAATATGATCTATCCCTCCCTCCCTCCTTCCTTTTCTTCCTTGCCTTCTTTCCTTTTCTTCCTTGCCTTCTTTCCTTTTCTTCCTTCCCCTTCTTTTTTTTCCTTCCCTCCCTCCATTCCTTCCTCCCTCTCTTCCTCAGTCCTTCCCTCTCTTCCTTCTTGTGTGGTCCCTCCCTCCCTTTCTTCTTTCTTTTGTGTTACCAGGGATTGAACTCAGGGCTTCACACTTGCCAGGCAGGTATTCTACTCATGAGAAACCACACCACAAGTCCTTAGTCTTTTAGTTTGTTTTCAGGTTGAGTCTTACACTAACTTTGCCTGAAATGAAAAACCTTTAGCCTGTCTCTTTACCCAGCTCTTGTAGCAGGGACTATAGGTGTATACCACCAAATCTGTCCCAAAGTATGAAAAAGCAACTGAATTCCAATAACATCAATACAATAATATTTTACTAATAAAAGGTTTTAAACTTAATATTAACACAACACATTTGCAAATATAAAATACCTGAATGTATAGGTATCTCACATTGAAGAAACCATGAAAACAGAGGCAAATTAACTTTTCTTGACTCATTTTCTAAATTTACTCTAAGTTAATGAATATTATTTATTAGATATTGTGATATAAGATAATCTAAAATTATTCTGAGTGAATAATATATGTGTATTTAAAAAGCATATTGATCATATTTTTGTAATCTCTAGAAGTAGGTTTAGACACATTTAAAACAAGACTTTTTATATCTAACATCTATATATCTATATATCTTTACATTTTGACTTTAGTGAGAAGATGACCTCTTCAGGTTTGTTTCTGTTTTCTTTGGGAATACAAGTAAAAATTGTCTGAAGGAACTTTTAAAAGCAAAGAGCTTGGTCCTTTCATGTGAAAACTGAAAAAATGTCAGTGCTTTTATTAAACAGATAAAAACCTGAGACTTGTTGAGTCCCAAGACAACAAGTCTAGCCAGTGGCCAGATAGGATAGAGTCCTGGTCTACTGTGTGCTTGTTGGCATTTTTCACAGTATGCCAAGCTGTCTGTATGTGTTAGGATTTCTGGCTGCATTGTAAATTGTGCATATGTTATTTACATACTGAGTAGTATGAATAAACATCAGGTCTGGAAAAAAAAACCCACAACTCATAGAAAAAGTAGGGTGAAATCATTTTGACTGTAAATGCCAAGAGACTTGAGGAAACAAACATACTGGTTAAGTAGAAGTTGCAAGAAGCCTCACATTTTCAATGCATTCCTCTAATAGTGAACACTAATGATTGGGGAATTTTCTTCTTCTCTATTATAGAAAAGTGGAAAATAGGTAGGGATAATCACACATACCTCACATTCTTGGGAAGTTATAAATTATTTTACACAGGGATTAAAAATATCTCAAACTCTCAGGAGGTCAACCTCAAGGTTATTGGACCAAGAGGCTGCCACTCTTTTCACCACTTTGTTGTCGTGAAAAAAGACCCCTAGCATTAGTCAGCAGTTTCTAAATCTTGACCACCCCCCTCTCCAATAGGAAAGATATCTCAAGACAGGAGAAATAGATGGAGGCAATTACAAACAGTCACTTGATTGATGGTTGACATTGTCAGGGCTCCACTGTATGGCAGATTGCAATGGTGTTGAACTCCCCTTGCTACCAGTGGAGGTTGCTATTGGCAACCGTGCAGTGAAGCCAATAAAAAGGCAAGAAAATGAGAGGAAAACTCAACCTTAGTGGAATCTGTAGGGTTTGTGCTATAAATTATGTTCCCTTTAGCCATATGCAGCATCAACATTCAGGACAGCTATAGTGCTTGTAGCTGCCTGCAGGTTCTGACAGACCCTGGGTCCAGTTTTATCATAAAACACATCCTTTAAAATTTTGCCATAGATGGACTGGCATCATTTGTCAGGCTATTTATTTATTGTTGGGGAGGACAACAGATGTGAGCTCATCGCTGCCTCACATAGACTGATTTTTCAATTCCCATTTGTGATATAAACATGATGTGGCATAATACCCAGAAATACCTGCAGTGTTTCTGAGCAGCGGACACATGATGATCTCACAGACCAAGGGCTGTTCTTAGCTCCACCCATCCTTTGTTCCTTACCTGAAGGAGGGGAGACAGCCCTGCAGAAGCTATTTTCCTTTATAGCAGAGTGATTCAGAAAACTGGCTTAATAAAATCCATAAATCTGAACAACCTCCTCTTACCTGCTCTGCAGAGGCAATTTTTCCTGCACTCATTTTCTCCCCCAGTGTCTCCAGTCTTCCCTGCAGAGACAGCTGTAAAGGGTATCTAGGAACATTATTTTTTAGGACTCCCACTCCTTTTTCTCCTTTGTCAACCCCCTTCCTGCCAATTCTCTCTCTTTCCTGCTCAACTGATGATAGGATTCTGCACCCTCTTTTTTTTTTTTTGGTTGGAAGTGCCATTTTTCTTTGTTTGGATTGACTTTCACTTTTCCTTTGGCAGTTCTCTTAACCACCTGCCTCAGCTCCCATCTCTCCTGTGTTGGTCTTCCTATTTGTTTCTTCTTCCTTTTCTCTCTTTTTACTTGGTTTATATTTTTCTTTTACTTTCTTGCTATAACAATACTACTTTTCTACAACTGCCTGCCCCATTCCTACCTTAATTTCTGTCATGTCTTTTTCATACATTTTCCAAATGTCTCCTCTGTGTCAAGAAAGTGATGTTCCTTGTAGAGGTTGGTCTCTATTTCTTTACGATTTCAGTAGGAAAGTTAATAACTGATACTGATCAGTAAAAATAAGAACAGCAATGTTTTCTGGAATGAATCTCAGTTTTTATCCCATCCAGGAATTTTCTGATTTCCCAGTGTTTCTTTGTGGAGTGCAAAATATATAATCAAATAGATGAAGATTTGAAGGGCTCAGGGTCCCTTAACCCTTCAAACAGAAGACTTTAGTTAGCCTTTAGATGTCATATATTTTGAGGATTCCTTAAAAGATTAATTTGACCAGAGATTCTAAATATTTCTCCACGTTGACAAATGAGGAAACAGGCTGAGAGTTCAGTGACTTGTCCATCATGGTCATCCAGTCAGTAGCTTCATAGCTAGGGATTGAGGTCCAGCTTCTAGTCACATGTTCTTTGGGGAAAAAACCATAATATGTCTTCAATCTCTCAGGAAAAATGAGCAGCAAAGCAGCTTTCTAGTTTATCTGTTATAAACTTGGCTTCCTATAGAATATGTGTTTTCTGTCTAGGGATTTATTTCTCTACTTTCCAAGCATTATTTCTTAAACTTAAGGAAAAATGTAAAATTGGGGATCCTTGTGTTTGTCTTTAAGATGATACTGGTAGTAACCTTAAATTTGATACTAAAACATCACTAGGAGGACTGCATAACCCTGCTGGTCCTGTGAAATATCTCTCAGGATTGGCGATAGTTCTTGATGTTAATATGTCATTTCTGGTACATTCTTACATAGATGTCCATTCATCTTTGACTTAATTAAATAACCTATTCTTCCTAGGGAAAAAAAGCTTAATCTACAATGAAGGGTGGATTTTAAAACTCTTAAAAGATAGACTATAATCTCATCAGATACTTACAAACCTTGTGTAAAAACAACCAGACAAATACATTTATTATATTTCTGCTATGGTCCTTTAAGGGAAAAATGATGACTGGTTGGAATTTATAGGAATAGTGAGTTTAAATTTCAGGTAGGTGATTCTAAAAGCTTTGGCTCACTCTTAAGAAGCTATAGGGTAAACACAACAATACCTCTGCAAAATATAAATCTGGATTCCTGGGACAGTCTGGCATATAAGGATACTCTAGGGGAGGCTGAAAAGACAGATGTGTTTGGCTTGTAACAACAAAAAAAAAACCATATACAAGAAGCAGCAGCACTAAAGACACTGATGGCTCTGGGTTCCCCACACAGAATGAGTAGATCTTGAGGTCTGTGGATCCAGTCCAGGCTTTTTCCAGAACTGATATGGATTCATCAGAGAAAGCTGAGGCTCTCTGTCCTTCTGTCCCTCTCTGTGCTACTGTCTATACATCAAGCAGGCCTAAGCATGCTTCCCAGCAATCCTGGAGATCCTTAGATTTATGGAAGCTAAAAACAACAACAAAAACTAAAACAAAAAGGATGATGTGGCTTGGCTGAAGGTGGCCTTTGAGCTGCAGTGTCTGGAGACACAGGAGGACCAGGGTTTACTGTCTGTCCTCCCTAGCCAGCAGGAGGCTGGCTGGCGCAGGGGAGGCAGCGGAGACCAGCTGTCTTTTTTGGTGTAACTCTTCCCACTTCCTTCTGTTTGCAGCCACTGAATCCAGCATGGGCTTCAGTTTCACATTGACCTTTACCAGCGCCTGAAACAAAACAAGAAACTGTTGGGGAGAGAGGACCCCAAGCCATTGACAGTTATATTTTCCACCTTTCCTCTTTATAAGAACAGCGAAAATGACTGTGAGATGAAAAAGATGATTATTTTGGCAAACACGAGCTATTTATCCAAAGTAAACATGTACTTAGCACTATTTTTCTATATTAACATAACTGGTGCAGGAAATGAAAAGATAAGACAGGCTGTGTACAGCTCCAGGGGAGAGGCAGCCCATAGGCTCCTTCCTATCCTATTTCACAGCCACAGAGTGGGAGAGATGAGGGAAGAAGAAATGTGGGGTATCACCAGATAAGGGCAAACTTCAAGGTCTTTGAACCAGATCCATCTAAGTATTTTCTTTCATATCACTTTTTTTGTAAACAAAATAATTTAAAAATAAAATAAAATAACCAGTTTAAGCTTATGGCCTTACAACCTAGATCACTCTTGGTAGTGCAGTGAGAGGCCGGGCAGTATGATGGCTCATTTGAGGCACACGAGTCATTCTGCAACTTCAATGGCAGAGTCTGTGTAGGCATGAGGGTGCTAGGGAGGGCCCCAGGATATTGTCTCTGAATTGGGATTAGAATAGATTCAGCAAGTACAGACTAAATGCAAATAGGTAAACACCTGACAAGCTAGGGGAACACAGAGTTTACTTGGCTCAACAGGGGAAGTTCACTGTACTCTTTCATCATTTTTTCTAAAGTGTGAATTTAAAAAGTTTGTAAGTTCTTTTTTAAAAATTTTTAGGTGATTGACAGTATTTCTTCTTTCTTCCTCTCCCTGCCTTGTGTCCCTCCCTCTCTTCTCTCTCTCTCCTTCCTTCCTTCCAATTCTTCCTTCCTTCCTTCCTTCCTTCCTTCCTTCCTTCCTTCCTTCCTTCCTTCCTTCCTTCCTTCCTTCCTTCCTTCCTTCCTTCCTTCCTTCCTTCCTTCCTTCTTTTCTTCCTTGTTTTGGGTATTCTACCCAAAATCTTGCACATGTATGCAAGCATTCTACTTCTGAGCTATGTTCCCACATTTTCTGTATTTTAAATCTTTTACTTTTCATTATGAAATGTTTCAAACATATCCAGCCAGTAAAACATGATTAGCAAATGAAGCTATTAAACATCTATGTGTGAATAAATAATATAGGTAAAAGATAGGAAAAAAATAATAAATATAGGTAATGTTACTTGTATAAAATATAAACAACAAAGGATCCTGTTTGCTTTCTGGGTAGCCCAATGAAAAAAGGAAATAAAATTTGGATAATATTTCATGTATTAAAAATATGGTCTTTATCCTGTTAAAATAGGAAGGTAGGTATTTCTTATTGTTATTTAAAAGAGAATGCCTTCTTTTTCTAGTCATTTAAAATATTTATTAAGTAAGGTTTGATTTTAGAAACAGCTTAAATGAAAAAGGAAATAATATTTTGTAATTTGTAACTCAAGAGATAATCAGTTCTAACATTTAGGTTTTGTATTGAATGTGATCCTTCCTATTTTTCTAAATGGCTAAGTTATCTAAACATCTAAAATATATTCAAATTGTGTTTTACAATAGCAGTTCATAAAAGGGCCCACTTTAATGAGAACTTTTGGATTTTTAAATATTCATGTTTCTTGGGTCTCAATGAAGTACAAAAACGTGACGTCCCATCTGAATGTGGTAGAGATTCTGCTTATGGACATCTAGTATTTCTTAGATGAATAACCAGTTACTATATGACACACTGTATTCCTCACAGTGACTCTACATTTTGAAAATGATGAAATATGTTCCTTCCATGTTAGGGTCGATCACGCATGATTTTTAGACCTCCTACTCTAGGACCAAATAAGAATCCACATAGAAAGTTAAAGGTTCTTTTTGTAATCTTATTGTTTATTTTGGAAGATATGGAGAACACCAAATTTTTCTAACGTAAAAATCAAGGAAAGGCACCAGCTTGCCATATAGAATGAGTGTACAAAGAAAACTGTTTGAGGATGTAGCATGAGAAGAATAGCTCTTAAAAACATCAAAAAGAGAAAAAGAAGAGGGAGGAGGAGGAGGAGGAGGAGGAGGAGGAGGAGGAGGAGGAGGAGGAGGAGGAGGAGGAGGTATGGTTCTTGAAAATGTGTGGCTTCAACCCTTATCAGGAATCAATCAAACTGGTTAATAGTTTTGTGATTCATAAGATGTGATATCAATGAAGATGACATTTTGAGGACACTGAGTATAATTCTTATTGTCTTTAGTTTGGGGACTATTTGGCACCAGAAGCTTCCTTTCTTCCTTCTTTTGATTCATTAATTTTATCACATCCATTATACTGGATATGTGTAGAATGCTCAGAATTCTGACATTTACCTTTGAGTATAATCTTTATATCACTTTGGGCTCTTACTATCCAGTGAAATTTGACTTCAAATTGATTTCATGCCCTGAGTAACTTATAAACTCCTCTTCATGATTTCCAGGTCTTATTTACTTGGGCTATTTGATTTCCTTCTAAGGTCTATTTGGCCATTTGATTTTACTTTACATCATTCCCAATGCAAAGTCCTACATTTCTCCTTTTACAGGAAAATAGGGAAGTGACTCAAGATTATATTCTTCCTCCCTATAGAAAGAGTATTGTATTTTTCTCTCAGACCCCATCAACCAGTATGTTTTGCCCAAGTTCCCTGGGTTCTGAGTTAAATTTGTCTTTGTACACAAAGCCCTATAAAGTATCCTTTTAGGTTTGTTTTGAGGCCAGGGGAATGATAACCCACTTCAAGCTTGGGTCAGTTAACTTCTATTTTTTTTAAATAAGTTTTTTTATTGTAAAAATATGGTACAGAGGGGTTACAGTTACATGAGCAAGGTAATGAGTACATTTCCTGTCAAGCATTGTTGCCTCTGCCTTTGTTTTTCCCCTACCATCCCTTCCCTCCCACCTCCACAACTACACTCCTCCTGCTTAAATTGTAAAGTTCATTTTTCAACATAGTGTCTTGTACATCTCTTGTACATCTTGTACAAGACCTGTATCCCTATTTAAACATTTTGTTTTTTCCTTTCCCCTCCCCAAATTAGACCAACATCAATAAGTTATACCATGGGAGAGGAATATACAAAGCAACAAAAAAATCATATGGTACATTATAAATACGTTAGAAACAATAGCAAGAAAGAAAAAAAACACTTGCGTCCCTACCTTGGGGTTTATTTTGCTTAACATCATCTTATCTGGTCATATGTACATAGCTTTTGACCTTTTCTGCTTGTCCCAGACATATACTAGTTATTGCAAATAAGGGAAACAATGAGACCTATGTTTCTTTGGGCCTGGCTTACTTCACTTAATGTAATTTTTTCCAAGTCTTTCCATTTCCTAACAAATGGGGCGATGTCATTCTTTCTGATGGAAGCATGGAATTCCATATTGTGTGTGTGTGTGTGTGTGTGTGTGTATGCATATATATATATATATATCACATTTTCTTGATCCATTCATCTATTGAGGGGCATCTGGGTTGGTTCCATATCTTAGCTATGGTAAATAATGCTGCAATAAACATAGTTGTGCTGGTAACTTTAGTATGGTCTTTTTTGTGATCATTTGGGTAAATGCCCAAAAGTGGGTCATAGGGGAACTCTATGTGGAGTCTGTTGAGGAACCTCCATACTGCTTTCCAAAGTGGTTGAACAAGTTTACATTCCTACCAACAGCGCAGTAGGGTTCCCTTCTGGCCCCATCCCATCCAGCTTCTATTTTTCTAGAGCCACAGATTATAACCTTGGTCCCATGTGGATAGCTTGCATGTTTATCCCATTTATCACAAAGGAGACAGAATTAAACCCTTGTAATTCACTATACCTTCTGAAAAACTTTCCCCAGGTATTCTCTGTGGTTAGGGAATGGTCAACAGCAAAGTCTTCCAGGAGGAAAAGCAGCTCCTTTTACAGAGGAGGGCAAGATGTCCGTCACCTAGGCACAAATCTGACTCGGCTCCTTAAATAGCCAGTCCTCCTTTCCAGGGAGTTACAGAGAGAAATGGCCAATATGTAACTAGATATAAGTTGAAGGGGTGCATTGGGGATTGGAAACTCAGAAATAATCAGTTCTCCCAATAAATAGAGAGATTTCATCCTAGGCTGACATGAAGTGGCACTCTCTTGATGTCAGTGTCCTATAAACAGAGAATATACTTTTCCCTCTTTCAACAATGACCACTGTTTATGTCATTCAGCAAAAGCATCTATTTTAAAATCAGGTATATGTACTGGCTAATTCAGATGATGATAATACAAGGCACTCTAACAACTCAGGCAGTGATCAAAACCCTCTTTATTTTCATGAGGAAAACGCAGATGCCTGATTCCTGTGTTATCATTTAAACAAGAATGCAAGGGAGAACTGACTGCCATGGTTTTTATTTAGTATGGTTTGGCACCAGCTCCTCTTTACTCTGATCAAGCCTTTTAATTAAACTGACTACTATAATTCCTATGGAAATTAGTGTTTATGTTATTTTCCTGTTACAAAAGCATTTCTCTAGAACTTATTTTTTTAATTCCAGGAGCACAAATTGGATTTTTTCTGCTTGAAATGTAATTAAAAACTCATTTGATTACAATATTTCTGGCTCTGTTTTACTTATTAAATTCCTGTAATCAGTTTTCTTTTATGAAGCTGCTGGGAAATGATCTCAAAAGCAACACATTTTTCTCTTCTTTGGCAGGTTCCCGAGCATTTACTAAATTACATTCACAGCACCTGCCCATGATTCGAATTACTCCACCAATTTATTCCTTAAACCACTTTTAAGTTTATTTGGCTTAGTCCCAAACAGCTTTCTTCCCTTTTATCCTTGTTCTTTGTTCTCTTTCTTCCTTATTTTCTGTTGAATAAAATACTGAGGGGAGAAGGGGTTACATCTTTCTCAGACTTTCTCTTTTCTCTTTGTTGTCTTATTGTAGAACGGAATTACCACAACAGAATGCTGGTTTTCTCTGGATAGGTGCT